TGTGGGGTGTGTTGTTTTTTTTTTTTGGGGGTTTGGGGGGGGGGGGGTCAACAGTGGGAGGGCTTCTGGAGTTTTGGCTCCACTGATGGACCTCCTGAAGGCACCTGGGTTTTGGCCACTGTGTGACACAGAGTGTGGGACTGAATGGGTCATTGGCCTGATCCAACAGGGCTTTTCTGACGTTCCTATATGGAGCAGAGGTCCATCAGTGGCCGTTAGCGACAAAGGAGAGATGGAACACCCTATCTGGGGCAGTGATGCTCGGTAGTCATTGGCTTGATCCAGCATGGCTTCTCTTATGTTCTTACGTTGATTAATTGGAAGTGTCTTGACGGCAGTTAACACACACACACACACACACACACAAACAAATGCTTCATGTTTTTTTCGGCTATCTTTTCTCCTCTCCCTTCTCAGGCAATTTTCCAAGACAAGGACAACCTCAACCAGCGCTACCACCGAAAGAGAGCCCTCTACCTGGCCCATGTTGCCCACCACCTGGCCAAGGAGCCGCTCTTTGGGAGCGTGATGTTTGCCTACGCCAATGGCAACCATCTCAAGCCGGTGGTCCTGCTGCAGCCCCAGGGTGAGGGAACGGTTCTTGCTTGTTACAAAACCCTGTGATGTGTACTTCTTGTGCATTCCTTGAAAGGATAGCTGTTTCGTGCTGCACGGCGTCCAGGAAAGAAGGTGACAAACAAACTAGCCATGGCATGATGCCAGGGCTGGAGGGGTTCATTGCAGTTTTCGCTTGCATTAATACCGTGTTTTCCCAAAAATAAGACACTGTGATATATTTATTTTTTTCTCAAGAAGACACACTAGGGCTTATATCACAAATGCATAGAAATACTGCTAGGGCTTATTTTTGGGGTAGGTCTTATTTTCGGGGAAACAGGGTAGAAGCAATCGTTCGGGGAGTTGTGGTGTTGAAATTTTAGCAGGGGGACTGTAAATTCTGTGTGACTGTGTACTGTAGCAGCAGTGATGTCTACAGACTACTTGAAGAAGAAGAGTAGGTTTTTATACCCTGCTTTTCTCTACCTTAAAAGGGGCCGCGGTGGCTCAGAGGTTGAGACATTGAACTGCTGACCGGAAGGTCGGTAGTTCGGCAGTTCGAGACCCGAGTGCCGCGTGACGGAGTGAGCTCCCGTCTCTGGCCCCAGCTCCTGCCAACCGAGCAGTTCGAAAGCAAGAAATTGCAAGTCGATAAATAGGTACCACTTCGGTGGGAAGGTAACAGCGTTCCGTGCGCCCTGGCGTCTGGCGTCTAGTCACGCCGGCCACATGACCACGGAGACGTCTTCGGACAGCGCCGGCTCTTCGGCTTGGAAACGGAGATGAGCACCGCACCCCTAGTCGGATTTGACTGGCTTTGGAGCAAGGGAAACCTTTACCTAATGTTAATAACTTATACCTGACCTTAATGTTACTAAACCAATCCCTCTTTAAAGACCTAAGCCCAGATTTCCAAACTTTGGTAGACCCCAGAGTTTTCAGACATCCTCAGAAACCCAGAAGGGTGCTCTTGCTGGCAAGATATTTATGCTTCATAGTAGCCGCAGTGGCTAATAAGGAAGGAAGGGGGAATTTCCTGCCTCAAGCCCCAAAGGAAGGAGAAACACAGATCCATCAAAAAGAGACAATCTGTTTGTTTGTTTGTTTTGTTAGACTTGTATCCCACCTTCCCCACATTGTAGGCTGAGGGCAGGGACCAACCCGTAGGTCTACAATAATGCAGGTTTTGCCATTAAGATAATTCATAATTTACAATTAGGACCTGCAATTAATGTAGATGTGTAGATAAAACAAGGTTGGTAGTTCAGCAGTTCGAGACCCGAGTGCCGCATGACGGAGTGAGCTCCCGTCTCTGGCCCCAGCTCCTGCCAACCCAGCAGTTCGAAAGCAAGAAATTACAAGTAGATAAACAGGTACCACTTCCATGCACCTCAGCATCTAGTCACATCAGCCACATGACCACGGAAACTTCTTTGGACAGCGCTGGCTCTTCGGCTTGGAAACGGAGATGAGCACCGTATCCCTAGAGTCGGACTCGACTGGCTTTCGAGCAAGGGAAACCGTTACCTTTACCTTTTACCTTCTAAGGCTGCTTTGTTTTCTGTCCCCTCCTTTACTTTCTGTACCTTAAGGAGTCTCAGAGTGGCTTACAATTGCCTTCCCTTCATCTCCCCTTAGTGGGCACCTTGTGAGGTAGGTGGGGCTCAGGGAGAACTGTGACTGGCCCAAGGTCACCCAGCAAACTTAACGTGGAGTGGGGAATCAAACCCAGTTTTCTCCAGATTAGAGTCCCCCACTCTTAACTACTACGCCACATGGTTGTCATGATCTGTGTGTGTGTGTGGTTCTGTCAGCTTCGGTACTAGAGACAGGTGAAGAATAGAGGCTGAAGTCTTTGAGCCTGAGGCTCAAAGTGTTGAGGGGGGGGAGAAATGAGGAAAGTTGAAGCAATTTGATTCATTTGAAAGGTGGTGTTGGAGGAGACGTTTGCTTGGCCTCGATGGCTGTTGGCAGCTCACCCGGGTCCCTTCCCCCTTCCTCCAGGGAAAGACGCCAAGACGGTGACGGTCCGCCTGTACGCCTGCCCTCCCCAGGGCCTCTTCAAGCCCTGTCGTCTGTATCCGGGCAAGAACAATGTCCGCACTGCCTGGTTCACGGAGAAAGGCGCGCCTACGGCAGGTACGCTCAGAAGAGTCTTTGGAGGGGAGAGCGCTTTGGCCGGGCCTGGGAGATGTTTTGGGATTTGGCTGGCACGCGTGGGGAGGGGGGCGGGTTAGGGCAGCCAGACCGGTCCCCAAAACATGGTCCCTAAAGCTCAGCTCTTGTAACTGCTGTGTTCTTATCCCACCCTCCTTCTAAGGCAAGGGCCGCGGTGGCTCAGAGGTTAAGCCGCCGAGCTGCAGACCGGAAGGTCGGTAGTTCGGCAGTTCGAGACCCGAGTGCCACGTGACGGAGCGAGCTCCCGTCTCTGGGCCCCAGTTCCTGCCAACCTAGCAGTTCGAAAGCAAGAAACTGCAAGGAGATAAATAGGTACCACTTCAGTGGGAAGGTAACAGCATTCTGTATGCCTCAGGGTTTAGTCACGCCGGCCACATGACCACAGAAATGTCTTCGGACAGCGCTGGCTCATCGGCTTGGAAACGGAGATGAGCACTGCCCCCTAGAGTTGGATTCGACTAGGTTTCGAGCAAGGGGAAACCTTCACCTTCTAAGGCTGCTTTGACTTCCCCCCCCCCCCCCGAGGGTGACTAGCAGTGTTCCCTCTAAGCTGAGTTATAGTGTGAGCTAGCTCACAGTTTTTTAGCCTCCGGCTCACACATTTTTGTCTTCGCTCAGGAAGGAGGGCTCCAGAGCAAACCAGTTTATGCAGCAGCCCAATCGCTCGCTCACAACTTTCATGCCAGTCGCTCACAAAGTAGAATTTTTGCTCACAAGACTCCACAGCTTAGAGGGAGCATTGGTCACTAGGGTTGCGGTAGAACTGAGCTTGCCTTCTTGCTGTTTCCTTCCCCAGGCGAAGCTGAGCCGCCCACCCCCCACTACAACAACTCCATTCTGTGGGACCTGGCGATGGAGGCCCACCTTCAGTTCCTCTCGGGGTCAGCCAGCGACTTCCCGGGCATGCGGGACGGAGTGGCCCTCCTCAAAGTCTGGCTGCGCCAGCGGGAGCTGGAGAAGGTAGGGGGGGGCCTTCTGGGAGAAGCCGGGGGCCCGGGCCACCCTCACTCGCCAGCCCCGGGGAGGTGGGCAGTCTCTGCCCGGGGATGGAAGTCGAGATCCGGCTAGGAGCAGGGCTGTAGCCAGGATTTTGTAAAAGGGGGGCTTTAAATAACTCAGGGGAGGCACTGACGTCACAAAATAAACAATAGAAAAATAAAATAGAAAAAACTCAGTTTCGCGGCATTCGCACTTGCTCGCCTACGTGGGGAAGCAAGCCGTGTTTGGGTACGGGGTGGCGATGGGGAGTCCTCCAGGCGGCCCGGAGAGTTGGGAGTCCTCCAGGCGGCCCAGAGAGCCAGGGGGTGGGGCTAGGGGCTGTATGGAAGTAAGGGGGCCTTGGCTGGAATTGAGGGGGCCAGGCCCCCAAATGCCCCACTGTAGCTACGGGCCTCGCTAGGAGAGCTTCTGTGCTGCAGCATCTGCTCCGGCTTCCTGGTATCTTCTGAGTCACGATTCAAGAGGCTGGTTTGGGTTAAAATGGAGGTGGATTCTGCAGGTGCCCCAGACCGGTGAAGAGAGGTCTGTCTGTTTTGACGGGGCAAATCGCACTTTTAGGAACACTGTTTGAAACGGGGGGGGGGGGGGAGGAACAGGGGGAGAAGGGAGAAGGGACTGTTTCGCCTCCCTTCCCTAATTGAGGCCAGTGTTCCCTCTAAGCTGAGTCAGTGTGAGCTAGCTCGGAGTTTTCTAGCCTCCGGCTCACACATTTTTAAAAAAATTGCCCCCAAAGGGGCAGGGTTTTATTACATTTTCCACATAACATACACAAACATTTTTGTCTCAGCTCAGGAAGGGATGGTTCCAGAGCAAACTGATTTAGGCAGCAGCCAAATCGCCTCCTCGCGGCTTTAATGCCAGGAGCTCACAAAGCAGAATTTTTTGCTCACAAGACTCCACATCTGAGAGGGAGCACCTTTCAATCTTTCAATTTATTGATCGCTCAATCCTGCAGAGCTTGCTGGCTCTGAGCGATTTACAGTTACTCATTTTTCGCGAGGGACTAAGTGCAATGTGGGGTAAGGGAGGACAACATATATACATCTTAGATTGCACACATTCACAGCCGACGAGGGTTTCGTTCAGATGCAGATGAGACGTGATCCGGAGCGGCATCTTCCCTCGGCCGAGTTTGATGGCGTCAGCTTTCTCCAGACTCCTTGAGTTGTAGCGCCACACTGCCATCGCCTGGCCGGACGGCCCATTACAGGCTTTATCTTCACGCCGAGGCGATCTCTCTAGGCTTTCCATCATGCGAACTGGACTTCCGTTGGCCGTCTAACACCGCTCCGCCCCCCGAGGGGGGGGGGTTCGGTGTGCCCACCCTCTCTAAGGAGTGGTACCCATTTTATCTACTTGCTGAAGCTTTCGAACTGCTGGGTAGACGGTGAGCTGGGGACAAGGCTGGCAGCTCACACCAGCGCGGGGCTAGAACTGACAGCAAGCCTGTTCAGCTCAGATGTTACTATGTTAACCAGAGGATAAATCCTCTGTGCCGCGCTCCGCGCCACGAGGGGGGGGGGATTCAGTGTGCCCACCCTCTCTAAGGAGTGGTACCCATTTTACCTACTCGGCGAAGCTTTCGAACCGCTGGGTGGACGGCGAGCTGGGGACAAGGCTGGCAGCTCACACCAGCGCGGGGCTAGAACTGACAGCAAGCCTGTTCAGCTCAGATGTTACTATGTTAACCAGAGGATAAATCCTCTGTGCCACCGCATCGATTCAGGCCTTTCCCCTTTGCCAACCATTTCCTTCTCTATGTCTCTGTGTGCCGACTGTGATCCTCCAGCAGCCATCTGCTGGCCGTCCCACTACTGAGGGTGGCCTGGCATGAGAATGGTTTTCAAAATTATGCATGGGGTAGAGAAGGTCGAGAAAGGAGTCCTCCTCTCCCTTTCTCACAAGACAAGAACTCGTGGGCACTAAAATGAAATGAATGAGCAGTCGGGTTAGAACAGACAAAAGGAAGTCCTTCTTCACCCAAAGAGTCATGAAAACGTGGAATTCACTGCCACAGGAGGTGGTGGCGGCTACAAGCATGGACAGCTTCAAGAGGTGGTGGCGGCTACAAGCATAGACAACTTCAAGAGGGGATTGGATAAGCCTACGGAGCAGAGGTCCATCAGTGGCTCTTAGCCACAAGGTATAGATAGGAACTCTCGTTCTGGGGCAAGGGATGCTCTGTATTACACATTTTCTTCGCTCTCTGTGTAAAGCTGGTATTTCTTTTTGTCCGTCCTGAACCTACTGCCCATCAGCTTGGTTAGATGCCCTCGAGTTCTAGTCTTTTGGGAGAGGGAGGAAAATTTCTCTTTCTCGACTCTCTCTACCCTTTGCGATAATTTTTAAACGTCTCTCATGTCCCCTCTTAGTCGTATCTTTTCTGAACTGAAAAGTCCCAGACTCTTCAGCCTTTCCTCGTAGGGAAGGGGCTCCAACCCCGATGATGGCATCTGGGTTTTGGCCACTGTGTGACACAGAGTGTTGGACTGGATGGGCCACTGGCCTGATCCAACATGGCTTCTCTCATGTTCTTGTCTAGGCCCTGGGCCTTTTCCCATGTGGCTCCAGCTCCTTGGGATTGGGTCCCTGAAGAGGTGAGAAGGACCCCCAACGTGGTGACCTTCGGGAGGCTCCACCTGCCTGCTTACCAGGGGGGGTTGAATGGCAGGCACCTTTGAAGGGGAGGAGGGAGAGAGAGATTTGGGGTTTTCTGTTCTAGTTTTGGTTGGAACTGGAAATGGTTTTAACGGTTATTGTAAATAGCCTTGAACCAGGGGTAAAGTCGGGATCTGGAGGATCAGCATGGCCGGAGCCAATCGGACAGAGGCTAATGCAGCAGTCATTGCACAGTCGCGGATTGTGGGAACTACCCTGGAAGGAGCCGCTGCGGAGCCGCACCAAGACAGAACCCACCATAAGGAAGCCGCAAGAAGGAGAGAGCAACAACAAGCCGGCGGGGTGCCTGGTAGGCACTCACCTTCCCCTATATACATTGTGTGGCCCTAGTTAGGAAGTGTAATATGCCCTTGTAAACCGCTCAGAGCCTTCGGGATGGAGCGGTATAGAAATTGAAATTGTATGTATGTATGTATATTGGGACATTACAGTACCAGCCATTTTATTCTCAATCCCTTTCCTTATAATTCCTTAGAGTTTTCCTTTCTTTTTTTGTGTGTGCAAAGAATGTGAAAAATTTGGCAGTGAGTGCTGGGCAAACCAATAGCAGAGGAGGAGCCCTCTCCTAACGAATGTCCCCTTTCCCAGGGTTTCGGATGTTTCAACGGCTTCCTGGCGTCCATGCTGGTGGCGTACCTGTTGTCCAGGCACCAGATCAACAAAGTGATGAGCGGCTACCAGGTGCTGAGAAATGTCCTCCAGTTCTTGGGTAAGCGGATCTGAGTTACTCCCTTTCCTACAGCTGAGCTGCCTCTTAGGCAGATTCCAAGTAGTCCTTCCTGAAACGTACCACCGCAGGTAGAGTCCTTTCCTTTTGGAAGGAATCCCCCACAGGCTAGAAGGTAGCATCTTTGTAGTGCTGGTGTTCTAGACTGTTTCTTACTTACTTACTTACGTTTATTAGCTTCTATGACCAAAGGTCTTAAGCTCAATTATAAAAGATGAATATACAACATTGGCCTCACAATACGCACTTTACAATAAAGGTTTACAGTCGAAGTAATCAAATCTAAAAGATCTAAAATTTGAAAACAGAAGTCATTAATAGAAGAAGAAGAAGAAGAGATTGGACTTATACCCCGCCCTTCACTACCCAAAGGTGTCTCAGAGCGGCTTACAAACTCCTTCTCCTTCCCCTCCCCACAACAGACACCCTGTGAGGTAAAAGAAGAAGAAGAAGAGATTGGATTTATACCCCGCCCTTAACTACCCAAAGGTGTCTCAGAGCGGCTTACAAACTCCTTCCCCTCCCCACAACAGACACCCTGGGAGGTAAAAGAAGAAGAGAAGAGATTGGATTTATACCCCGCCCTTCACTACCCAAAGGAGTCTCAGAGCGGCTTACAAACTCCTTTCCCTTGGTTTCAGGATTAGTATCTGCCAAAAGATAGGGGACCACCCAGAGTTCAGTAGGTAACCGGTGTTTGGTAAGAACTGGAGTGATCCAAATCGATCTAGGAGTCGACCACTGATGGCATAATAATAGAAGATGGCCAAGCGTTTCCACAGCTCCAGTCTCACAGTTACAAAAGCGATCCAAGTATGGGACTTTAGAAAAGAGACCTGTTATCTCAGCAGTGGGAAAAGAGTTAAGCCTAGCAAGAGTGAAAACACGTCTATAACTAGGTATTTTTCGAGATCTAGTATATTCCGGAGGAGGAATACCCAAGGCAAGAGCGGAACATACACGTCTTGCTCGAGCTAAAGGACTAGCCCGATCAGGATTAATCACCTTCATTCTGGTCTGCTTTAGGGCTTCCTGATAAGTCAAATTATTCCATAGTGTTGGAGGGAATGCCCAATAATTCAAGTCTAGCATCTAGATACCTTTCCCAGCTACTTTTGTGGTTGTCCTCCTTTATCAAACATAGAAGGCCACCTTGGGTATTTAGTGCTGATTAAAGGACTTTGCGTCTCAGTTTGAAAGCTGCCATCCAGGCTCTTGACTCCAAGGAATATTGGGCATAGACTGTTCCTTGTAAGGGGAAGCATGCAAAACTACAGTTCTCTCACCTGCACTGCATAAGAAGAGCCCTGCTGGATCAGACCAGTGGTGCATCTCGTCCCGCATCGCTTCTCACACAGTGGCCGACCAGTTCTCAAAAGAGCTCTCTCGGCCCCACCTACCTCACAGGGTGTCTGTTGTGGGGAGGGGAAGGGAAAGGAGTTTGTAAGCCGCTCTGAGACTCCTTCGGGTAGTGAAGGGCGGGGTATAAATCCAATCTCTTCCCCTCTTCTCTCTTCACGTGCTCACTGGGGCATTCTGAAGTCTCACGAGCTGCTTGAGGAATGGGAAGAAGTGTTAGCTAACCCCCCCCCCCATCTCCAAATCTTATCGTTTCCCCTCATTGTAGAGGGGGGGACCCACATATTTAAAGGGCCGTCTCCTCCTCCTTTGCAACTCTGACAGATTCGTTTCTCACTTTTTCCATGGTGAGGATTATGTCCAAACGGTTGCCACAGTAAGTACCTGTAGCCCATGGGCCTCGGAGTCCTTTGTGGGATCTGGGGTTAGGTTTGCTACAGACAGACGGGGGCACCCAGGGCCATGCGACCAATAGGCATGGAAGTCCTGGGTCTGTGGTAGAGCATCTGCTTGAAGAAGAAGAGTTGGATTTATACCCCGCCCTTCACTACCCGAAGGAGTCTCAGAGTGGCTCCTCGAGAATCCTCCTCGAACCTCGAGGAAAGGTGGGATATCGATGTTGTAAATAAAACTGGAGAGCTTAGGGGTGGTTTTATTTTCTTCCCCTCTTCTCAGCCTCTACGGATCTTACTACCTCTGGAATCAGCCTCTCGAAGGATGGAGACGGCTCACTGGTAAGACAGCGCTTTTTGCGTGACTTGGGCTTCCGGGTGAAGGCAAGGAATGGGGATTGTCTTAGGAGCTTTGGCTATCTTCATCTTCTCCATTGGCGTGCTCGAGGCGATCGCGTCAAGTGGCGACCCTAAATCCGTCTAGGGCAGGTCGCTTTCTGCAGGGAACCGAGGCCTGGCTTGTCCACCTGGTGTGGGAAAGGGATCTTTCTGTGCCAGCACTGGGGTTGTCCAAAGGGAAATCGTATTTTGGCCTGTCCTATTGGGTGAAGAGTTGGGCAAATTGGTTGGTTGGGGATTCGGGCCAGCAGATTGGAAGCCGCTGCCCCCTATGGCCATGTTGAAAGGCACCTTCTGGACCAGAAGTTATTATCAGGGAAATAGCATTCGGCATATGATTGGATCTTGGGAGGGCCTCATTTGTACTTCCATCCTATGCCTAGTAATTCCACTCTGGAATAATTCCTTTCTGGTATATTTTGTATCTCTGCTGTATAATTGTATTGTATTATGTTTGTTCCTCATTGTATTCGACCTCTGAAGAAGGCCCTACCTAACAGGCCAAAACGCGTCAGGTCAAGTCCATTGGCCCTTGTGTGTATATATGGTTTTGGAATTTTTACATGAGGTGTGATTGGGCCCCTGTATGTTTTAGAATTCTTTACAAATAAATACATGTATTTTTACATGTTTTTTTATAAATTAAGTTTTAACTGTTGGCCCTCTACTCAGTTTGACTTACCTTTTCAGGTTCTTGATCCTAGTTTTCAGGACTTCTGACTGGCCAGTGGAAATCTGATTGGTCAGGCAGATTAAAATAACATTTTCCCCACAGCAGCTGCCAACGCAGTGTCGGTTTTTACTGTCTCCCATTCTTCATTCTTCTTCTTCATTCTTGCTGTATTTTTTAAAATTACTTATCGTGTACTCTGCGCTTGGGCTTCTTGTGTGTAGCTCTGCGGCAGCCATTTTGTACTTGCTCCCACCTCCCACGGTGGCCATTTTGTGGCTGTGCCCACTGCCCTGTTTCAGAATTCCAGAGGTGCCGACAGGCTCAAAAAGTTTGGGGACTCCTGATCTAAGCAGTGTGTTCTTCCAGTTTGGTGTAGTGCTAAGGAGCGGCGGACTCTAATCTGGAGAACCGGGTTTGATTTCCCGCGCCTCCACATGCAGCGGCTGGTGTGACTTTGGGTCAGTCACAAGTCCTTTCAGAGCTGTTCTCTCAAGGGCAGTTCTCGAGAGAGCTCTCTCAGCCCCACCTACCTCACAGAGTGTCTGTTTTGGGGAGGGGAAGGGAAAGGAGATTGTAAATCATGCAGAGACTTCTTCGGGTAGTGAAGGGCGGGGTATAAATCTAATCTCCTCCTCCTCCTCTTCCTCCTCCTGCCACTACTGTGTACTGGTTAGAAGCAGCGGGCTTGTAATCCGGAGAACCGGGCTTGACTCTCTACTCCTCCACATGCAGCCAGCTGGTTGTCCTTGGGTAGGTCACAGCTCTCTCAGAGCTGTTCTCTCAGCAGCAGTTCATTCAGAGCTCTCTCAGCCCCACCTACCTCACAGGCAATGTTCCCTCTAAGCTGTGGAGTCTTGTGAGCAAAAATTCCACTTTGTGAGCTACTGGCACTAAACTTATGAGCGAGCAATTTGGCTACTGCATAAATTCATTTGCTCTGGAGCCATTCTTCCTGAGCTAAGACAAAAATGTGTGATCTGGAGGCTAAAAAACCGTGAGCTAGCTCACACTAACTCAGTTTAGAGGGAACAGTGCTCACAGGGTGTCTGTTGTGGGGAGAGGAAGGGAACAAGATTGTAAGGCACTCCGAGTGAAGGGCGGGGTATAAATTCAACCTCTTCTTCTTCTTCTTCTCCTCTAGCCTACCTTGACTGACTTCCACAGAGCTTTCCAGGTGGTCTTTGTAGATTCTTCTGGACTGGTGAACTTGTGTGCCGATATGTCTGCTAGCAAATACAAGCAGGTAAAGAGGGAAAGTGGGCCGAGACTTATACTTCCTGAATGAATTGAGCCAGCCACCAGGTGTATGCCACATGGCCATGAGCAAGCCGGTTTCCAGCTCAGGAACCAAGTCCACAAGAGGTCCTGGATCGAACCAGTAAAGGAAGCCGCCGCCTTCAGTTTGCAAGAACGGAGTGAGGCTGTTAATGACAGGAAGTTTTGGAGGTCATTCCTAGGGTCGCCATAACTTGGAAGTAACTTTGACGGCACGTAGCTCACACACCTGGTATCTGGCTTCACAGGGGAAACGGCTTGATGTTGCACAGTAAAACAGACTTGGAAGTAGCTATATCTAACAGGATTCTAATCTACCTGGGAACCTTTAAGAATGGGATGTAAATAAGATTTGTTTTAGTGGAGCGGGCCAGAAGGCAGGGGGCTCGTGGCTCAGTGCTAGAGCATCCGCTTGGTATGCAGAAGGTCCCAGGTTCAATCCCCGGCATCTCCAGTGAAAAGGACCAAGCAGCAGGTGATGTGAAAGACCTCCGCCTGAGACCCTGGAGAGCTATAAAGAGGGGCCGTGGCTCAGTGGAAGAGCCTCTGCTTGGCAGGCAGAAGGTCCCAGGTTCAATCCCCGGCATCTCCAGTTAAAAAGGACCAGGCAGGAGGTGATGTGAAAGACCTTTCTCTGCCTGAGACCCTGGAGAGCTGTAAAGAGGGGCTGTGGCTCAGTGGTAGAGCCTCTGCTCGGCATGCAGAAGGACCCAGGTTCAACCCCCGGCATCTCCAGTTTAACTGGTCAGGTATTTATTTATTTGTTGTATTTATAACCTGCCCTCCCCGCACGCGGGCTCAGGGCGGCTCACATTGCCCGGCACAGTATGCCAAGGTTCATATACAGTCAAAACATTTAAAACTTAAAACATTTAACACTGTTAAAACATTTAAGCAATCAACGATTTCCGATGAAAGTGCACTCAGTGACTATTAACCAAGATGGCGTAACACGTCATGCCGGCTCAGGCAATTACAGGCTCCTTGGCGGTTTGGCTCGATCTCACTGCAGCCAGCCTCCACCACAGATATTAATAGTGGTCATTGATGGTAATGTGGGCAGCTCCTTAGATGAAAGCCTGGCGGAAGAGCTCTGTCTTGCAGGCCCTGCAGAACTGCACAAGATCCCGCAGGTCACTGATCTCCTCCGGGAGCTCGTTCCACCAGTAAGGAGCCACCACTGAGAAGACCCTGGCTCTAGTAACCGCGAGTCTGGCGTCTTTGGGGCTTGGAATAACCAGTCGATGTTGCGCCCCCGACCGTAGTGCTCTCTGGGGTATATACGGGGAAAGGCGGTCCCTCAGGTATGTTGGACCCTGGTAGGAGGTGATGTGAAAGACCTCCGCCTGAAACCTCTGCAGAGCCATAGTCCTACCTAATCTGTTAAGCTATCTTCTGTACTGGAACTGTTAATACAGGCAGTTCTTTTCCCCGTGACTGTCTGTTCCCAAATTTTTAGGTACCAAAGATCCAGAGAAGGGGCTGCCTCATCTTCCCACTTGGTGGCTATGGCCAGTTTTGCCACAGATAGCAATGTTGCAATCAGATTTCTGTTTGTTTTCCGAACAACACCGCTTTTGGAGTGAAGGGAACTCTGTATCCTGTAATGAATTCGATTTATTCAGTCACATTCTCCCAAAACTTATTGCTGTAAACCCAACTCATCCAGCAGTTGAGATACGAACCTGTTGAACAGAGGTGGCTAAACTGCGGCTCGGGAGCCACATGTGGCTCTTTCACGTGTATCGTGCGGCTCCCAGCTGGGTTGTTGGGGAAGCAAAGACGAGGCATGCCTCCCTGATCGGTCTTCCCTTCCCCAGCCAGTGTTCCCCTCCCTGGGTAGGCTTGAGGTGGGGGGGAGCAGGGAAAGAAAGCAACTTTAACTTTAAATGCATTCTCAAAGCCTCCCCCCCAGCCGGCTTGGAGAAGGCATTTGTCTCTTTCAATCCCTTCTCCAAACCAAGCCAGCCAGCATGGGGGTGTGGGGGCTTGGAAGATGCCTTTAAAGTTGCTGCCTTTCCACCACTCCCTCCCTCCCTCCATATATTTGCTTTCTTTCCACTTTCTTTCACTCTTCCTTCCTTTGTTCCTCCCCTCCCTCATCTGTTTGCTTTTTTTGTATCTCTCTCTCTTTCTCTTTTTCTTTCCACCTCTTTCATACTTTCTTTCCACTGCTCTTTCTCTCTCTCTTTCTTTCTCTTAGACAAATATTATTAGCAAGCAAATAAATATCATTGGATAAATAAATATCATTATCAGTACTTGTTTATATTTTTGGGAGTCTCATTTAATGTTAATAAAAAGCAAATTTGCATATTTTTCAATAGAAACGTGTGTGTAATATTTGTTCGTATTTTGAGGCTCTCAAACGTCTGACGTTTATTCTATGCGGCTGCTACGTTAAGCAAGTTTGGCCACCCTACCTATAGAACCACATTTCTTCCAACAGAATGGGCTATTTGTTAACATAGCTAAGTTTTTGTGGTGTGCAATACCATCTAGTGATGAGTTTTAAAGATTGGTATTTTACCAACGTACACGTGAAAGATGTCCAAATTGATTTCCATTGCTCTGAGGTTTCAGAGCCAGTTTGGTGTAGTGGTTAAGTGTGTGAACTCTAATCTGGGAGAACCGGGTTTGATTCCCCACTCCTCCACTTGCACCTGCTGATGTGACCTTGGGTCAGTCACAAGCTCTGGCACAGCTGTCCTTGAAAAAGAGCCGTTTCTGTCAGAGTTCTCTCAGCCCCACCCACCTCACAGGGTGTCTGTTGTGGGGAGGGG